ACTGAACAAGGATATATTTTAGTTTTTATTGTTTATATTTGATCTGTTTCATTTAAGGCGTCGTTTACTATCAAAGATAAAAAAATTATCCGTAAAGTGGATCATGGAAGGGTATATTGTTAGGTATTTTATGAGATTCCGTTTTATGTACTTTTATGATCAACAGTCCACATGATTGTTTATGGCCAATCAGAAGTTTCCCCAAAAGATAAATACGGTACATACAATTATACTTTAAACAGTCCTGGGCTTTGGTGAAAAAAATAACTTAACCCCCCCAATAAAAGGTTAAGTCAGGTCAGGTTAGGTTAGCAGGGACTCAACCGATACACAGAGAAGAACAAGCTATGTTTAGTGTGGTACCGAGGTGATATGATGGGTTAGGTCAGGATACAGTAGGAGTTTTATTAAAATTTCGTATTATATGTTAATTATATCAAATAAACCAAATGCAAAGGACATTGGGGATTTTAAATGGGGACAATTATATTAAAAACTTATATCATATTCAAGGACGCGAGGATTTACGAGAGCTGTAATAATGACATGAGTTTGTAAAAGGTCTAATAATGACACTAAGAGTTTATAAGAGCTCTAATAATGACACCAAGAGTTTATAAGAGCTCTAATAATGACACTAAGAGTTTCTAGAGCTCTAATAATGACATTAAAGGTTTCTAAATCTCTAATAATGACACTAAGTTTATAAGAGCTCTAATAATGACACTAAGAGTTTATAAGAGCTCTAACAAGTGCCTTATGGTAGAGAAGATGTTTTTGTGTGCCAGTTATAAGAGTTGGCTTTGTGTCTCTTCGAAACGCCCAGTGTATGTTAATGGGACGCTATGGGGCAGAGAATCGGCTGTCCCCAGTTACACAGCCGCAGAACTGGTACCTGACGTTACAGCTAGGTACGAGAAAGATGATCGAGCTCTGTGTGCTGTATGAACATAATATCTACTTACGATACTTAATTTACTTAAGGGTGTTTCGTCGAGTCGAGTGATCTGTTAATTGTGTTTTTCTTGTCTGCTGGCGCTCAATAGTGAGACCACCCAAGATTGTTTACCCATGATGCTCAAGGATGGGTTCACGGCTGGCTCTCTCTCTCTCATTGCCGGAAATAGCACTACAATACATTGGCCTAGAGAATTACCGCCATATATTTATTATAATTATTTATATTTCACAGATGGTTTTGAAATGATCATAAATTGGATCTTGAAATCTGGAAAATTTTGCTGGCTTCCGTTGTTATGCTCGCCTTACAAACGAGAAAACCAAGGTTCCTTTCCCAGAAAGAGTGGAATGAAGGGTACGAGGTCCTTATCATGCACCAGTTAACCCATCCTAGTCAGCTGTGAATGAGGACCTATAGCTCGTGTAACTGGATCGTCTTATTCCTGGCGAATTGTCCTGTTTTCCTGGGTTTTCGTCCGGATGTTGTGATACCTACAGTGTACAGTATATGAAGCCTCATTGGTGAGGATCCATATATTTACCTGTAATATTTTTTATCAGACACCAGTGGCAAGGATGTTGTGGCATTGAGTGTTACAGATTATTTTCAGTACAATGTTTGTTTAGTTCAGTACATAGAAGGGGGGGAAGGGATGGTCTTAGACTTAAATGGTGCTACGACCGTCTTGTGTCCCCGGAAGATAAACTTATTACTTCATCAAATGATATACTTAAGATTCAGTTACAATTAATTTTAAGTTAGTCACTCCTTGTCAGTGCTCGGGTCACCTACACAGGTGTTGACGTCGGCGCGTGAAGACTTAAAGTTTTTTATGTAAAAATTTAGGGATCGCCTGAAGATTAGACAACCCACCTTATTCTACCTAATGATCTAATACCCTAACCTACCCCCCTCCCCCCCAGGTAGTGTTAGGGTGTTTAATCAAGTAAAATAAGATGGGGTGTTTAATCTTCAGGTGAGCCAAGTCGTGTGTCCACTTGTATTTATGTAAGTAAACATCTTTCCTCTGTTGTAAACGGCTTTGTTATGATGGAAGTGTGTATATAAAAACATCTAATAATTTGTACTAGATTAACATAACCATAATTGACATGTACAAAAATTTCCATAATGTAATGAGTACAAATTATGTACGTATTTTGGAGAGCTTGAAAACTAAATACAGATTGATTCACTCGTTGGTATACCCAGAGTATAGTTGTTTTCCTTCAGTAAAGATATCGATGTTTTATGCTAAAATGTATCTCTCTCTCTCGTTTATTCACTCATAAATAGAGACCATATTAGCGGAACTCAAAGGCTTGCCAGCGAGTGAGTCATTACTGTTTGACTTGTATCTAAATTTCCAAAGCGTGTTATTGATAGAGTCTATGACGGTGGTTCTTAACCTGGGGTGCGAAACACGTTGGCCGATTCGCTTATATATTTACAAAGTTACTCAAATTGTATTTTTTCTTAACGATTCAGTCCTTCCAAGGTTACTTTTATCATGGTGAGGTTTTTTTGGCACAGATAGATACGGGATCCATTTATTTTCAACCTGGATTCCATGGATGACAATGATATAATGAAAAATGGTTTTGTTGAACTGAAGGCCAAGAAATAAATTCGAATGGTATTTGAATCAATGCAAGGAGACATCATCTTGTGTGATCGGCTCCAAACGTCCCCACAGTTGGTGAAGAGAGCTCTGGGGGTCCTACCATTTGTGACCTGTGCGAGGCAGGTTTATCAACGCTATTACACATTAAGACGAAAGCCAGAGACCGTTTAGATGCAAGTGATGACCTATGTTTCACGAACGTCATTGATCAAAAGCAAGAATAAAAGAGTCATTAAGACTGTGCTGTGCCAGTGTATCATTGAGTAAATCTAAGTTCTTAGTAACTACTAAGTGTGTCGTTGTGCCACTTCACCTCTTTGTTGTTATGCTGTAAAAATAAAGAATTATTATGAATCAAATAATCTAATTCTAAGACTTATTTTTGACAAGAGGTTCGAGAAAATGTGAGAACTCAAGAGGTGAGGACAAAGAACCACTGGTCTGTGATATGATACTTCCTCTTTAATTCAGGAACGCATCCCAGTCGTTAAACAAGGGATGTCTGTATTATGAATAGTTCTCCACAGAGCTTCCTAGTGTAGACAGTTCCGTTCAGAAGTTCGTTATACACCCGCCGGTAAAGGGCTCATAGCCTGTTGCACCCTTCCTGGACGGCAGGTCACTACGCCGTCCCTCCCGTCAACGTACATAAGACAATGTACTGCTCATTCCTTAAATATCATTTGCACATATCTAGACGAGAACAAGTTATTGAGTTGCCAAGCATGCAAATGATTAGCTTAATGTATGATAAGTGAAGCATTATTATAAGTATTACAATTAATAATGTTAATAAGTTTAATGAATGTTGAACGCATGTATACAATATTTTCAACCATAATAAAATTGAAAAAAAGTTATTTGTAGCTTTTTATTTACACTTTTTGAAATATTTTACGTATTATGCTTTGTCTTCGATACACATAATACACATCAAATATTTCGTCTCCCTGTATACACTGAACGTCTCCTGGACATACAAGGGTTAGAAAACGACACACCGTTGAACCCCAGAAATTAACCCTTAACTCACACTGTACACAGACCTAACGAATTATTGGTTAAAAACGACAAAATTCCACTAAAATCAAGTCTTAACTATCGATTTTGTTTATAGGACAAAATCCCATCCAACATCCCATCAAGGTAAGTCCGACGAGCGTATTATATGATCACTTGAAAAGACCTCATTATATTTCACCTGAAGAGTGACCACCCTTCAAAAAAAACTAGGGGTTAGGTTAGGTTAGCGTTACGTTAGGTTAGCGTTACGTTAGGTTAGCGTTAGGTTAGGTTAGCGTCAGGGTGGTTAATTATCATATAAAATAAGCTGGGGTGGTCCGCATTTTATCTAACAGGCCAAGGTTTAGTGAAGGTATTTTTTTTTCTTTCACTCAATAAAGGAAAAAAATCACCACATTTATAATTGTATTTTATGTTTATTGATACATTGATGACTGGATACTTGCCCATGTTGTACTGGTTCCCTTAGTCATCATCCTCAGACTGTGACCACCACCATCCTGAGTGTTACTTTTGCTTTGACTACCACCACCATCTTGAATGTTCCTTTTGTTTTGACTACCACCACCATCTTGAATGTTGCTTTTGTTTTGACTACCACCACCATCTTGAATGTTCCTTTTGTTTTGACTACCACTACCATCTTGAATGTTGCTTTTGTTTTGACTACCACCACCATCTTGAATGTTGCTTTTGTTTTGACTACCACTACCATCTTGAATGTTCCTTTTGTTTTGACTACCACCACCATCTTGAATGTTCCTTTTGTTTTGACTACCACCACCATCGTGAATGTTGCTTTTGTTTTGACTACCACTACCATCTTGAATGTTCCTTTTGTTTTGACTACCACCACCATCTTGAATGTTGCTTTTGTTTTGACTACCACTACCATCTTGAATGTTCCTTTTGTTTTCACTACCACCACCATCTTGAATGTTCTTTTGTTTTGACTACCACCACCATCTTGAATGTTGTTTTTGTTTTGATTACGGGATATTGTGGTGCTAAAGATTTGAAAAATTACCCAAAGAGTATAATTATTATTTAGTGATAGTCTTAATTTCTTGAATGGACACAGTGGAGTAAATAGTCCCTCACTCACCTAAGAAAGACGCTGTAAGTTTTAGTGTTCATAATTTCTGTTCTTGAAAGTTTAACATAACCAGTAGTCAGCTGTGTGTTAATGGAAGCAACAGGGAGATTTTTTCAATAGTGGTATGTAGAGAAGTTGTGTTATGTATTTGGTATATTGAGCTGATGTGCTGGTGGTGTGGTAATAATGTGGTAATGTTGATAGTGTGGTGTTGGGGATGGTTTAGTAAGAGCATGGTGATTGATGGTGGTGGTAGTGGTATAGCGACAGCATGGTGAGCGATAATGGTGGTGGTATAGTGACGGCATGCATGGTGGTGGTGGTGGTGTGGTATAGTAACAGAATGGTGATTGATGGTGGTGGTGGTATATTGACAACATGGTGATGGCACTGGGAGCTTCTTATACCTTCAACGGTGAACAGTTGTATAGTTTCATACACTCTTTGTTCACGGTATCATATTTATGACACTCTGGACAGCTGGGAAGTGTGGGAGGTCCACAGTCTGGGCGACAGAGAGAGAGAGAGAGAAGCGGTAGAAGGGAGAGAGAGAGAGAGAGAAGCGGTAGAAGGGAGAGAGAAGAAGGTCATTAATATAAATGGTTAAAATAAGATTATAAATGATTTTGACTTTAAGACAAAAAAATCATCAGGATACATGTACAGTAAATATCAAGAAAAATTATACTAAGTCTCTAATAAAAAAACCAATTGATATTCTTATAATATATTATACATAAACAAGATCTTTTCAACCTTGAACGCTCTGGTCTGGTTAGGTTAGTTAAGTTGGGTTAGATTAGTTTAGGTTAGGTTAGGGAACAGGGTTGGAAAGCTTGAATAAGTAGGGACGGAAAAACTAAACACAACCCCTGGAGGACGTTGGTTTAAATTATTATATATTAATAAGTTAATTCATCGTCCTCAAATGGTTAAACTATCATTCTCAAAGGTTTGAGCCATAATTCTTAACAGGTTAAAACGTCTGGGACTGAAACGTCAAAAAACAGTTTGCGATTCAATCATTTAAATAGATATGTCTTAGGTCATCTCATCTTATGACTGAAAAGTTAAGGTCGAAACACCTTGTTCCTGCACTGGTGTGTGTGTGTGTGTGTGCTTCATGAATGTGTACACGTGTGAGGATGTACGGGTGAGTCAACATGCCCGGTGTAGTGTGTATGTAAGAGCATCGTGGCATTTCCTAACAACTCAAACGCAGCTAAAATTTTCTAAAAAATGAGATTAACAATGACATTTTCCTTTTTATCGAGAGCAGTGGTAATAGAGAGCTAAAGTACAAGTCTGTGGCCAAAGAATTGGGCAAAACGTAAGGATGAGACTAATCGTAGTATTGCCAAATCTCGTCACGTTTTCTTACAAAGCTAAGAATTCAGTGGTTCTCCGGAAACCTAACCACACTTATAACCCAACACTAAGCGAGACAACGTAACGAGTGCTATTTTTCGTCTAACGCGAGAGAAACCGTGACCAGATTTGTTAATACGATTAGTCACGGTGAAAAATTAAAGTATACAGGTGAAAGTAAGTATAAAATTTAGACCAAGGATTAGACCAAAAATACGAGTTAAACCCAAAGTTAATTTGTATTTCTAGATCTTTACAGGTATTTAAGACCCCTGTTAAACTCAATGTATAGATTAAATACAAAGTATTGTGTTAAACACAGATTACGATACAGTATAAGGTTTATATTCTTACCTATACACTTGGGCTCGAAATGCACCGCGGCCTCAGCTGTCCTCATCCCTATGACTCCCAAGACAGCGACTACAGTCAGCACCGCCACCATCATCCTCTTGGTTCCTGACATCGCTGGTGACCACAGAATGAGCTAGATTATTATTATTATTATTATTATTATTATTATTATTATTATTATTATTATTATTATTATTATTATTATTACTATTATTATTATTAATAAAATTATTATTATTATTATTATTATTATTATTATTATTATTATTATTATTATTATTATATACACATTCCTCGTGAAGGTTTAATCTTATAGAACTCAGAAAATAGTGATGGTATAAATGTTGTTGCTATATATTGCACGTGTTGCAATAATGTTATCGTGTCGACTGTAGTAATGTTGTAAAGATAACATTACCTCTGGTTGTGACACGCTAATCCCAACACCCAGACGTAGACCAGGAGCGTTGCATAACTTCACTTAAAATTAATATAAGTTATACTAGTCCCTAGAATAACCTAACTTACCCTAACCTAACCCCTGAAAGAACTTAACATAACAAGTCTAACTTAAACTTCCCTAACTTAGCAAAAACTAACATAACTTATTCCTAACTTAACCTATCCCTAACTTAACACAACCTAACTTCACCTCCCTAACTTAACATAACCTAACTTCACCTATCGAAGATGCTTTAGGCATATAGTTCTAACCCCATTGTGTTAATATTGTAGGTGGCGCACTGTCTGTCTGTCTCTCTCTTTTTACAGTGATAGGCATAAGGAATCCTTCTCCACCTCCTCTATTTTCCTCCTCTTGTTTGCCATACTTGCAGTGATAACCAAAGAGAGCATTTTCCTCCTTATCCTCCTTCTTTTCCTTCTCCTAATCCTTTACCCTTCCCTTGTCCTTCCTTTTCCTAGACCTTACCCCCCCCCCCTCTCTCTCTCTGTGTCTCTCTTAACCTCCTAATTCAGTTTAATTCAACAGTCCAGCTGAGGAGACAACTTTGCATTAAGTAGAGGTCCTATAACGTCTAGCAGCTGATCTGAGGATGTAAACAACTTGTAACGAAGCTTTTGCCACATCACTTATAAATGACTGTACAGCCTCAGGGGTACTGTTTGGAGGTAACTTGTGGAGGTGGTAAGTAGAGGAACCGTCTGGTTTACTTTTACTGCCGAGTCTTGGAGGTAATATATGACATAATGTTTGGAGGTAATTTGTGGAGGCCGCCTTTAGGGAATCGTGTGGAGGTAGTATGTGTATTTGGAGGTAACGTATGGAGGCCGCCTTTAAAGAACTGTTGCACTTACCTCTAATACTGTGTGCCTTGGAGGGTAACTAACTTATACGCGTGGAGATCCGTCCACGATTGATTACAGAATGAAGGCGAGAGACAGGAAGAAGGTCCTCGCCCACTCCGACACATCCAGGTGATAACACTAATTTATGTTTCTACTAAACCCTACCCATAAAGCACTAGGTGAGGAAATTCCCGTTAAGATAAACATATTTTTTTTATTAAGTTTCCTGCTTGGTTGTATAAATGGTGGTGACGCAACGCAAAAAAAATCCCAGATTTCAAGTTGATATCCCCAATGCTTGATACAAAAAATATTTATTCAGTAATTCATCAGACAAGATTACATTGATTCAGGCAGTGCAGGTATACATTGTACATAGACAGTGCAGGTATACATTGTACATAGACAGTGCAGGTATACATTGTACATAGACAGTACAGGTATACATTGTATATGGATATAGGTTTTCTCAATACTAACGGATCACATTAACAGGGCATATACATATGCCTTGATTGAACTACTATGTATGTATGTATGTGTATGCATGTACGTATGTATTTATGTATGTATGTATGTATGTATGTATGTATGTATGTATGTATGTACAGTATGTATGTATGTATGTATGTAACTCGACAACACAGAGAGCCACATTTTTTCATTCATGTCATTCATATTCATCATGACAGTTCCTAGTATTACCGTGTTTAAGTTCAGGTCCAATCCACTGTAAATTCTTATATTTGAAAAATGTTACCGTGTCCTCAATAGTCAGTCACCCTCCTAGAAGTACAGGTACGTATATCATGGGAGGAGTAAACGAGTGTCCGCCCGTGTCTGTTATCCATGACAATGTCTGTGTGTAGTATCCGTGTTCTCATGAATACATAGGTGACTGTTTCCGAGCCTGTGTTAGCGTATATATATATATATATATATATATATATATATATATATATATATATATATATATATATATATATATATATATATATATATATATATGTGTGTGTGTGTGTGTGTGTGTGTGTGTATTTCTGTTTGTCGATGTATGATAATATTTTTTTTTAAACAGGGGTAGACTTTATCTATCTATCTATCTATCTATCTATCTATCTATCCATCGAGCTATCTAACTATGTAATAGCGATTCCAATGCACTTATTAATCTACTTTCTACATAAAATTGCTTAGCCCTTTCGATTGGGAACATGGAGTGCTTGACTGTCCAAACCTGAACATAAGAACATAAGAAAATAAGGAGTCTGCAATGGGCCAGTTGGCCTGTGCATGGCAGCTCCTGTCGAGAGTTATTACCACTCTCTTTCATCCATGAATCTATCCAGCCTCCGTTTGAAATTTTCCAGCGTTCCAGCACTTACTGTACTACAAATTTGCGAAGCTTGTTCCTCTCGTCCACCACCCTATTTGTAAACCAGTTCCTTCCTATCCCCCTCCTAAACCTAAACTTATCCAACTTAAATCCGTTGCCACGAGTCCTATCCTTCATTGATTCCTTTCACCCACTGAGCAGGAGAGGGTTGTTTGGTGGGCGGGATGGTGGAAAGAGGAATCTTTAACAGCTCTGCCACATTGCTCAGGGAGACCAGGTTCACTACACACGTAACTACCTAACACAATCACTAAGTCTAAAAGCGCGTGTGCAGACCTTACGAACGACCAAGAACGAGCAATCGCCTTTGTTCGTTTGTGCTTGTTCATGTTCGTTCGCTAGGTCTACAGTCTCTAGACCCAAGCATAAAGTACGCGACTTCCCAGATGGACGCTGAAATACGAAGCTTCGCCTTACACTAGTCCCTGTGCTTTTGTGGGGGGGCGAGTGAAACAAAACAAAATCATATGGCATCCACATAATTAAAAAAAGTGGTTAAGAGAGAAAGAGAGAGAGAGAGAGAGAGAGAGAGAGAGAGAGAGATAGAGAGAGAGATGCGTATACAGTACATTAAGAGGCCCTGGGATTTTTTTTTATAAACCTTACCTGTTCTCACATCAGATGTACTACTTCACACACACCCACACACACGTCTACAGAAACAATTGAATGAAAATAAGATACTTCAAAGTGACAAGTTTGTTTCGACAACGCATAGACAATCTAAATCTGAGAGTGAGTGTGTATGTGTGTTTGTGTGTGTGTGTGTGTGTGATTCATACCACGTAGTACTGTTACACCATATTTTGCGAGGCCAGTTTTTTCCTTTATGTTTTTTTTGATATCCCAAGTTAGATAAGGATTAATTTAGGTTAGATTAGATTAGGTTTACTTAGGTTACGTGAGGCTAAGTTTGGTGAGGCTTGGTTAGGTTAGGCAATCTTCAACGTACAGTACAGGACCATTCAGATACAGAATAATAATAATAATAATAATAATAATAATAATAATAATACCCTACCTCAGCTCCCCCTCCTCACCTCACATATAATGACATTGACATTGACATTGGTCATTTAAGAAATATTTCAGTTCAAAATGAAGAGACACGGAGTGTACAGTACAGTACATACTGTACATGTTAACTATGACTCATCTTTTTTACACTGGTTGGAAAGAGGTTGATCTTGCAGCCTTGAGGCAGCTGTAGTGTAGAACTGCTGCAGGTGGACAAGAATCCGTTCCGAGATGGTTGGAGGTGTTAGCCAGGAGTGAGGAACATCTGTCCCAAACTGATCAGAGGGAGGTGAGATGGCCGGTGTACTGAGTGCTTCTTGATAGGTGGATCTGAAGGCTGCGGCACACTGGATCCCGTTACTACAGTTGAGGTCTTACAAGATTGTGCTATAGTTCTTCAATTGCTGAAGCAAGTGAGGCGTCTGCAAAAGCTATAGAAAAAACAATGGGTGTGTGGTGAAGTTTCTTTAAAAGTGGCGGCGGCTGGCTGGTCAAAGAATACCATGAATAGTGATTTAATAATACTAAAGAACTTTTAACGTGACCAATAAGTAGAAATATGTCTCCATTTATGTGTTATATTTTAAATTTTTATTGTTTCATGATTAATTAAAAATTTTACTTGAAATTATATGAAGCTCATTTGAGCACTAATCCTGCCAGCAAATATACCCGCCAAACCATTGTCCACTAATAGCAACAGCCGAAATCCTGCTGCATGCTGAGCCATCAGGCCGACGGTCAGCAATACGGGTAACATGGAAGTAAAGTGCCCAGTGTACCGCCACCTTTAGCACTATGACACTCATCCAGGGATCCACTGTCTCGTTACATCCCATCGTGCACATGGGTGTAGGTGGGAGGGGATTCTCCCACGTCACGTAGTGTTGACAGGAATTCTCAGTGTGTGTATGTGTTTGTGTGTGTGTGCGTGTGTGTGTGATTCATACCACGTAGTACTGTGTTACACCATGTTTTGTAAGGCCAGTTTTCTCCTTTCTGTTTTCTGATATCCAAGGTTAGATTAAATTAGGATCGTGTTCAATCAGTTGTAGGTACGTATGCATGTTGGTGTTAAGGTTCATAGCTGTGAGCCGTATCTGGGGTGGGCGGGGCTAGGATTAATATGTTTTTACTTTAATTGATGTATCCACTTTATCTTATCGAGGTTATCTTATCGCCAAGGTAGTCAACATTCTTAGTTCCCACGTAGTTCGTATTGGACGGTTCTCAAGGCACCTTATAGTGAAGCTTCTAGTAGTTAAAGGTAAAGCAAAAACTCATTTACATTATTTTAATAGGTTAGACAAGAAGTGTAGATTGTAGAATGAAGATAGAGTTGGACCTATACCCTCTTTCCTTATCCGTCTCCAGTTGTAGATGAAACAGCTGTGGCGGCAAAAGTTCCCCCCGAAGTAGCACCTTGGTTGGATATCTAAACTCGGGCCGAATATAACTGAATATAATCTTAGCCTTATACTCTAACTTATTTAACCAACATTGTGACAACATTTTGTAGAATATGATTTACAGTGGATTCTATTTCACGGTAGAGTTTAAGGGTTCGACTCGATGTAAGTTTTATGATAAATTAAGTATAATGAATAGATTTGTCTTTTCATGATGGATTTTTTTTAGAATACTCCCCACTGATCAGATTTTCATTCCAGACTTCTGTGTGTAAGCGTTCACATCTATTTCACAGCGACATACTTTGCGTAACACAACCGTCCACTCATCCATCCCTATGTTCACCGTACTATAAGGGCCAATTGCAAGAACAGTCGTTGGGTGTACGACGCCGTTTACGATGACCTTCTTGCCCTGATCTTGTTTTAGGAATACCACGCTTTTGAAGCTCTGGAGAGATCTCGAAGTTTCGATATTTTGAGTACAGCACTAGCTAATAATTCCCACCAGGAAACTTGTTTCGAGACTCCTCCAAAGCTTCGAAAAGTGCAGAATTCCATGAGTTAAAGGCGATATTACTGAAAAAGACCAGGGCAAGAAGGTCATCGTAAATGGCGTCGTACACCCCATAACCGTTCTTGCAATTGGCTGGTATATTACACGACCATTCATCATATATAATGATAATAATAATAATAATAATAATAATAATAATAATAATAATAATAATAATAATAATTTAAAAAGCCATCAGATTTTTTTCCATTTACAGTGTATCTCTACTAACTTAATTATTAGTCTCGGCTCTTTTTCATTATCTTTCGTTAGTCATTTAAATATTCACTTGGATCAAAAATATGATTGTTGTATGTAATTAGCTAACTAAATCAATATTATATATATATATATATATATATATATATATATATATATATATATATATATATATATATATATATATGATGACATTGAGGAGCTAACATCAACTTTTTTCCCTCCCGCCCTCTTTCCTTTCCTCCATCCTACCCTCCCCAATCTCTTTCCTTTCCCCCTTCCTCCCATCCCTCACTTCATCCTTCCCTCCTCCCATTTTCTTTCCCTTCCTCACTCCTTCACGCCTTTCTCCCATCCCATCCCATCCCACCACGAAATGTCAATCCACCTCCACCTTTCAGCAGGTACTTGTGTTAGTGGTGGTGATGTTACGAGGTGGCTTACTGAGGTGGTTGGTGGTGGCGGTGATGGTCGTGTGGATGGTGGTGTTGGCCGAGGCTATTCCTCTCTACAAAGATGGAGCCGTACAAGGGCCTAGATGTCTCAGTAAGTACTCGCTCTGTTTTTTTATTATTAAACTACTTGTGAGGGAGATAGAGAGAGACAGAGACAGGGATGGAGGCATATACCGACAGACGTGACCAACCACCCAAGCAGTGGATCAGTGACGAAGAGGATAAAGTAAAGCTTGATATACTGTAGATGATAGAGATTCCTGTAGATTGATAGATAAAGATAAAGAATTAAATTAATTGATAAAGAGATAGATATATAGTAATAGTTTTTATGCCTGTGTTGAATACTTAAAACCGGCTGTGTTTGTGTCTTACAGTGTGTGGTCCAGGAGACTGCCCGAAATGTTATTTGCCTGACGTCAACGGGTTATGTCGTCGCGTGTTTGTCTGTTAGCGCTGAACTCACCCCCCCCCTCTCTCTCTCTCTCTCTCTCTCTCTCTCTCTCTCTCTCTCTCTCCATCATTCTCTCTTTCTCTTTCGTTTTCTCATATTTTTTCCAGCTTCCCAGAAAAAACCCAGCTATTTAAACGAAGAACGGCTTACTACCTGAAGAACGGCTTACTTGATGAAGAGTGGTTTGCTATCTGAAGAACGGCTTACAAGCTGAAGAACGGCTTACTAGCTGAAGAACGGCTTACTAGCTGAAGAACGGCTTACTAGCTGAAGAACGGCTTACTACCTGAAGAACGGCTTACTAGATGAAGAGTGGTTTACTATCTGAAGAACAGCTTACAAGCTGAAGAACGGCTTATTAGATGAAGAACGGCTTACTAGCTGAAGAACAGGCTTACTACCTGAAGAACGGCTTACTACTGAAGAACTTTAGATGAAGAGTGGTTTACTATCTGAAGAGAACACAAGCTGAAGAACGGCTTACTAGCTGAAGAACGGCTTACGAGCTGAAGAACGGCTTACTAGCTGAAGAACGGCTTACTACACCTGAAGAACGGCTTACTAGATGAAGAATGGCTTACTATCTGAAGAACGGCTTACAAGCTGAAGAACGGCTTACTAGCTGAAGAACGGCTTACTAGCTGAAGAACGGCTTACTAGCTGAAGAACGGCTTACTAGCTCCCATAAGTCCAATGTATACACTTATGTATTCATATATTATATAAAATGTTTTAATGGTTTAATATATAACCATCAATATATCTCCCAAGGCTTTAGTTATATACTGTATATCTCTCACAGTTTATGATAGACAGTTCAACATATATACTCGTATATTTATCCTATGGTTTCGCTGACATTTTGTTTTTGGTACAATAAATCACATAAAAACGAAAGATCTTGTTATCATTTTTCCTATTAAACAGTTTTTATAATAATAATAATAATAATAATAATAATAATAATAATAATAATAATAATAATAATAATAATAATAATAATAATAATAATAATAATAATAATAATAATAATAATAAAAATAATAATTGTAATAAAATAATTAACGGCTTATTTAAAGAATATAGCTCATCTGACTTTCTGCCTCATTTACACACAATTGCAGGTCTCAATTGTTTTTTTACTTTGACTACACAACATATGTACAGTACATATATTGTTTCTCATTTTTATCTTTTTTTTTCATTTTTGTATTCATTTATTATTATTATTATTATTATTATTATTATTATTATTATTATTATTATTACAGTGTTGCTATCATTATTATCATTATTATTTTATTAGTTTACTTTCAATTTTATATTTGCATTATAAATTGTATTTACTATGAGTTATTATTATTACAAATAATAATAATAATAATAATAATAATAATAATAATAATAATATTATTATTATTATTATTATTATTATTACATTTTCGCCCCCCAGGCCTCCATGTGAGTCAGTAGTGACCTGTGCCCGGGTGAACTAATCCCCGTAAAAAAAAAGTCTGAAACTATACAATGAAAAGAAATTATATAAAACACATATAATGACTTATAAACCTCTGTCTCATCTGCGTATTAGATGGATAGATAAATAAGTAGCGATAGATAGATAGATATATAGATAGATTAACATTTATTAATTAGTTAAAAAGGTCATGCGAGTTCATATTGATTCAACACGTACATAGACAGTCCAAATGTACGTACAAACAATGTACGTAGGTAGTGCAGGTATACAAACAATGAGAGAGAAGATAAGACATCCATAACATCATAACATTATATAGATCAAATTAGACAAGGTTGGTTCTTGTTGTTGCAAGTTGTCACAAAATCACTTTTATTAGCACCCTCCCCCCCACCCTTCCCCCTACCAATAAAAAAAGATTCAGATTCTGTCAATCTTTCAATAATCAACTCCATCAACTTTCAACAGATGAATACCATATACTTTTGCGTGATTGTTCTTCCAGTCATAAGGATTCACCCCACAACTTATTTTACCTTATGATTAACCATCCTAACGCTAACCTAACCTAATGCTAATCTAACCTTACCTAACCCAACCTACCATTAACCCCCCCCTCAAGTATCATAAGGGTTTAATCATCAGATACAATAAACTGGAGGTGTCAAATTTTCCGGTTGATCCAGGCAGGCGGTTGTGATCAAAACACTGGCTCACTGGCTTATCGCATCCGGGTGTTAATCCTTCATGCTTGCTTGGTGAGGTCATCATTTCTGGGCCAGGTAAAGTCGCCAGGTAGTGAGTGGGACAGTTATTCACTCACTTAATACCTCCAGTGTGGTCGCATTTCATCCAACTTTATGGAGGTATACTTTTCCACTCACTCACCTTTACATACTTGACTCACACAGCTTTGTCACACACACACACACACACACACACACACATTCTTTTCACCAGGGGTGGATCAAATACAATTGTATTCGTATTTTAATTGTATTTAAATACATTTTCAATGTATTTGTTTTTGTAATTGTATTTTGGCACCCAGAAGAAAAAGTATTTTGTATTTGTATTTGTATTTCGACACTTGTTAGTGTTACAGGCAGTAGGCTAGATTAAGGCTACTGCCTTTTGCCTCTTCCATAAACAAAGGAAAATTTGATATTTTGTATTGCTACTTTTGTATTTTTGAATTAAGGAATAAAAGTATTTGTATTTATATTTGCATTTTTGCATCATAATGTCACAAGTATTTGTATTTGTATTTGACCGCTAAACATCAGTGTTTGATCCAACCCTGCTTCTCACACACCCTACTCATGCACCTTACACACACCCTTCAAGCTCACACACAAACCCTACTCACACACTCTCCATACACATTGCTACTGATTAATTATCATAATTCCTTTTGATCTTTGAGCCTCTATATGAGTAAGTCATTTCCAACACAATTACAAAGTCATTTGCTTTTCTTTAATGATTATAAAGCAACTATCCTTTCCATTAGTCTATGAGACTATGACCAATTCAGCAATATTTTCCCACTTGAACACATGACCTCAGTTTTACTGTGTAGGGTCAGAAACCTATTTCCCAGCTGGATGGACTGGGAGTTGTTCTTACTTTTACTTTACTTTTATCCTCACCCGCTTGGGCGATCGGTTACGTCTCTGTTACGTACTGTTGGCAAGTATTGGGCATGCACCGGCTCCTGAATGTATCTGAACCTGCTCCAGTGTTGGTCAAGTCTGGTCTTGAAAGAGCTTACACTCGGTGCTGTCACAACACTTTCTGGCAGATTGTTCCAAGAGTTCACAACTGTCACTCCGAATAAGTTTGCCCTCACAGTTTTCTGAACCTACGGCTTCTTCAATCTTGAGCTGTGACCCCTTGTGGGGCGAGCGTCCGCCAGCTCCAAGTAAGGACACTCGACTGAGTAGTGCCCCTTGAGATGCTTATACACCTCAGTTAGGTCGCCCCTTGCCCGTCTGTAGTATAAGCTGGGCAAGTTCAGGCGCTCCAATCTCTCAGGGTAGTTGAGGTGCCGAAGTGCAGGCACCAGTGTGGTGGCCCTCCTTTGAACATTTTCAACCAACTGACAGTCCCTAGTATATCTCGGGGACCAGACGGGGTGACAGTACTCCAGATGGGGAAGCACTTCACTCTTGAAGATCGTTACGAGGGACGGACCGTCTAGATATCTGAACGACCTTCTTATAAGACCCAATAATTTATTTGCCTGATTTACCTTCTTCTCGCAATAGCCCGAGAACTTCAGCTCATTGTCAACATACACACCTTGGTACTTCTCACATTCAGTCTCAAATAGTGCAGTTTCTTCATCTCGTTGGGACATATGATACGCCTCCTTACCGTTGGTACGCCCCAGGTGCATCCTCTTACACCTCGTGGCATTGAATCTCAGCAGCCATTTCTTCGACCATTTTTGGAGCTCACAGAGGTCCTTCTGCAGCTCTTCACAGTCCGCTTGGTTCTTGATTTCCCGAAATACTTGGCGTCATCAGCAAACATTTGTATGGAGAAGTGTACAACGTCAGGCATGTCATTTATGAAACAAACAAACAGCAGCGGGCCCAATATACTGCCCTGTGGTAGCCCGCTTGTGACAGGTACAGATGATGATTTCGTGCCATTAATTACCACACACTTCGGGATCGAACCAGTGACATGAGCCAAACGCTGTAGCCATTAAGCCACAACACTCCACTGTTTCCATGTGGGCGTTAATAGAATAATGTATAGGTACTACTCTGACCATGATATTGCATTATTTACTGACATGTGCCAGAGTAGCTGGCACTATAAAAATACATTTCTGGTAGTTTCTTTGTTGCCAGAAATGGAACAAAATACTTAGTTTCATAACTACGTTTAAATTTGGTCCTGTATTTTGAAACCTCACTAATTCATACTGATTGTGGGAATGGATAACACCTAAAATCCAGTAGTTTCGCTGAAAATATTAGCAATAATTACTGCTACCAATAAGTTAATGTGTGCAGAGTTGACAGCAGTTAATTAAGATAGCTATGGCTAACTTAGTTCAGTTTAAAAATACGTCATTACCACTTCGTAAAACTATTATATATCATAAAAAAATACTTTTGACTTATTACATAAAACTAAAAGCCTTTATCATCACTGAGCTGCTCTGGATTTCAGTTGCCATGGTGACGACGACATAAGTTCACAACAGCCACAAAATTCATACATTACTGATTCCATGAAATACTCCCGACATATATTTTAACAAGACTATTCCTTATAACAACCTACCAACTTTTATATTAAGAAAAGAGGATAAGAGAAGTGAACAAATTGAATGTTTATTTGTGTGCGGACCTCAGACTTCAGCTCACCGTTCAACCATGGAGTCATCTGGTACTCCATCATGTGAACAAAGTGATAAATCAAAGCGATATGACCGTCAGTTGAGGTGAATTTCCATATTTTAGACTCGTATATTATGTATCTAATTACCATTCAGCTCTACTTCATATATTATTACATTGTCTTTAGTATAAGTTTGGTTTTAGACCCTAGTGACATGTGTATGGATTTGTTTATATTTGGGTTTGTTTTCACTGACTGTCACTTGATTACCTTTATTAACATTATAATCAGTATATTTGTCATTTATATCAGAGAGTAGTGTTGGATGTGGTTATAACTCAGATTAAATAGTGGAGAAAGTTGTATGTCCACCAAAGATTGTGATGTTGAGGTGAGGAAGTGTCCATGGTATTGAAACTATAGGTTAGGTTAGGTTAGGTCATCACTTAGATTTTATTTTTGTGGAATCTTCTGCTTTGTTTTATTGTAGGGAGACACTCATCCAGATGTAGGGGGGGAACGGTATGGTAATTGTATACGACTAACCCGCTGCCGAAATTGATTGTAAAGATTATAAAAATGCCGGATTTTCACTTATTTTATATTGGACATTGTTGTATTTTGTGCAAATGTGTTAAAAAATTTATATTTTTAAAATAAACGTTACTTAGCAGACCCCCCGGTATATTAAACAGAAAGAACTTACTATGATATGGTGAAATTTGAGGCATTTTCTGGACGTGAGATGATACGGCCTCATCAGCGCTATGCAGCCCTGGCGGCGGAGTGATTTATTGTGGTGGCGGGAAATGTCGAGCCACGGGAGGAAGTGATGAACAAATTTGTTTCCGGTGTGAAAGCACAGGGATTCCCGCTGTGTGGACAGTCTCTATTTAAAGGAACAATGCCGTGGTCTTTGAACAATTGAAGGGTCTTGTTGTCTTTATCCCTAAATTCGTAAATAACGTACATGTAAGACCAGCGACAACCTTCACACCTCATGCTGAGAAACAAACTGCCCCGAGCGCCGTAAAAGCGCCTCAGCTAAGCGCGGCCTCATTACCGCCCGGAAGACAAACTAGTGTGAGCCTAGGCGCCTAATTACCTGTGAAACAAAAAATTTGCACAATAAATAATTATCATATCAGAACTCACTGATGAAAATAATATGAGAAAATAAACAGTAATAAAAATATCTCAACCGTGGGTTAGTCCTATACTGTATATTAACCAACGGTATGATTTTACGACACAGTAAATAGTTTTGTTTTTTTTTAACTTCAAGAAGAGGTTAGTGTCCTGTGTGTCAACTTAAATAGTGAAGGTTAAGTATTATTGAAATTTCACTCCCAATTGGGTTAGAGCAATTTTGGGTTCACCAGAAGTTATATCTTGTCATTTGCAACAACCTTTAATAATACCACTTGTGTCGCAAATTGATAATAACCGAGATGGTAAATTCACGTAGGAAATTTATGTAAAATATTGCTCGGCCATCAGGGTTGATGTTACCTCTACAAACTCTCTGTGACTATGAGAGACAACTAGCAGTTTTCCAGAGTTAAAATGTTACTTTGGTTATGTTTTGGTTAGGTTTGGTGTTGCTTTAGTGTTGTATCAGTTCTACAAAATGCACTGTCTGTTAAAATTGTGTTTGAAATGGATAGAGTTAGGGGATATTTTTGCTGGCTACATCAGCCAGTTTATATTTAACATGTTTATACAGTATTTCAGTTGTACAGTACTGTATAGTACTGAATATATAATACAATACATTATATCGATCAGATTGAAATTTGAACATGAAAATGAATGGCAAGGTTTGTCTTTTGGTATACAGTGCAGATATATTTATGAACAGCAAAATACAATAAAATACAGTACACTATTGAGATACTGTAGTCATTAATTATAAGATAGAGCATATACGGTATAGGAACTTGTACAGCATTTTGCAAACAACAGTTCTTATGAGGTAGAGCATATGTATTGTATGTACCGTATATAATTATTTACTGATGCTGAAACCCAGGAACTGATTAAGAATATATTTTCTTTTCAGATTATGGGGTGACCATGGGCAAACATCTTTAGAAAATGGTCATGTTTGTCTTATTAATGCCAGTGCAGCAGGAACAGAAACACTGAAATCATTAGTTTTGCCAGGAGTAGGAGCAGTCACCATTGTTGATGATGCAAAGGTCACACCAACCGATGTTGGCAACAAGTAAGTCAAGAAATACTGTACAATATTTCCTCAACTTTTTCTTTATTCCATTTGTGCCCCTTATCAGCTTACTAACCATTCAGACGGTTGGTCTATCCACTGTTAGTACAGGCGGAGACCAAGAAACCTGCGATGTTTGGTAGGGTCACACTGGATAATACAATTCTCATGTGTATCTGGAATTTTCCACCTTGCAATACAGACAATATAGACCCCAGTCCAACCTGGAATTTGGGCCAAACCATATAAGCCTTCCTCCCAATTAATCTGCATTAGAGGGAGTTTACCAACTGTCACAGTGAAAAGCACAGTAGTTAAGAAGATGCCTGCTGTAGACAGTGGGGTTTCTGTTAATATCTACCTTAAGCATCAGGACCGTCACTTTTATCTGTACTTGTTTATTAGTAATTCCTTTTATTCATAATGTAAGAGGTGCTGGGGGTGTAAACATGATAATTAAAGTTATGAATGATTAGCATTTTGCTGTTCTTCTGCTTGATGGAAAATCACAGTGATTTCTTTTTCGTGATTGAAGCTTGTCAACAATTTTTTAATTCATGTAACTTGAGAGACTTTATATTTTTCTTTTGTACAATCTTATGTATTTGCATCTTACTTTACTCCTTATCCTCTTCATTGTTTTATTTTATCTCCTACTATGCCTAAGGTCACACTAGAATAACCCATTTTAGTACATCCTTCTTTCCTTACACAGCCAAACTGTGGAATGTTCTGCCTTCTTCTGTGTTTCCTTACTCATACGATGTCTCACTTCACAAAGTTGGTTTTCCGTCATCTTCGTGGTGTAGATTAATATCATCCTTTTCTTTTCTATTTTTAATTTCTTTTTACTCCTATTTTTTCACCCCCTATGCCCCATTGTGGGTCGATGACCTGTACCCGGATGGGCTATTTACCGTAAAAAAAAAAAGTTTCTCCTCTTCCTATTAGTTCTTTTCTCATTTGTTTTTGTTTCTGGACAGAAACCATTACTCTGACCTTGATTAATTTTAAAATATTTAGCTTTTCAATTTATATTTGCTGTCAAAGTATGGGGCATTGCTTTCTGTTCAAATATCCTTCTATTCACCCGTTTACTGTACAGGTATTAGTCTTCTTCTGGTTTTACTGAAGGGACTCTGTGATTACCCTACACTTGTCTGGCTCAACAGTTTCCTGTTTCTGTTGGAATGTATGTAAGATTTTATTATATAAGTTTCTACTGTACTGTACAAGTTTAAATGACAGTAAAACAATAAGGCATACAGTAGTTGTTATTTTAGCATATATTTTTCATCTCCATTCTCTCCATAGAAACAACTGGAAATTATTCATTGAACTTGGCATAAGTTTAAAGGGGAATAAGACAATATTACTTACCAAATAAATCTTTGGTTATTAACCCATTCATTAGGGGAGTGCCACTTTTATTATTTTATAATGTTAATGCCAAACAATATTATTCAGCTCAGAGGGAACCCTGTACACAAGTGGTTAGGAGATCAAAATTGACTGGTTCTTGGGGACATCTGTTTGTGGCATGTGCTGTACTGTATTGTCAACATTTTGTACATCATAGTCGAATTGATGCTGAATAATTTTATTTTCATTCAACATTAGTGGTACATGTATGTCCTCGCACATTGTGGGAGGGACAATTCACTACCTAGTACTGTACTGCACAAGCCCAATATGATTCCGAGATTGATGGTGCCTCTTATTGTTGAGTAATTTCCCTTCATTTAATATGTGTGAGAATGTATACTGTACAAGTACAGTATAGTATTGTACAGGTATATGATTTATTAAAAGGCCTATATTCTTATGGGTATTTTCCTTTTGACCAGCTATTTACACAAATGAGAGTTGCATTTCTGTTGGTTTGGCTAGAAAATTTAACATTACCAGTAGTTTAAATGTTGAAATTATGTCCAGTACAGTACTGAATATAAGTTTGGGGGATTTTTTTCTATTTTCTTGCAAATATGATATCAGTTTCTTGTAAATAATGTTTTTATTTTATGAATTACGGCTTATGATTTGTTTTTACTTTTTTACTTAAAGAAATATACCTTTTCATTTCACAGCTTTTTTGTGGATAGTGATAGTGTTGGACGACCACGAGGAGAAGTGGCGCTACGTCTCTTACTAGAGCTGAATCTTGAAGTTCGGGGGACGTTTGTTGACCAACCTCTGCAGGAGATTCTAGACAATCAGCCAGATTTCTTTGTCCCGTTTACCTGTGTTATTGTTACCTGCTTGCCAGAATGGTATGGTGTGTCAAGTATACAGTAGATTATAACAGTTTCTTACTTTACATTTTTTATGTACTGTGTCTTTAACATTTTCATGGTTGTCGGATACAGTATACGTTTATGCATACTGCACTTTATAAGTTATGTGAAATAAGAGTGAAAACATCATCTTGTTCACTGACTTATAAACTGTAGCAATTTTTTAAGCCTATGTACAAATTTTATTGTTATCATAGCATGAAATTAGACCCAACACTTTCCTCCAACCAAAAAGTCAGGCACACTTATAAACAAAGCAGTTACACGCAAATGATTGAGTTTGGTTGCGTTTGGATTTTTGGATTAAATTAGAATTTTAACCAAAGGGGACAAAAGTTCAGATACCTGGAAGATTTGGATACCGGTAGTTGGAATTTGGATGAAAGGAATTGTACTATACAGTACAGGTATTGTCAGGTGAAAAAATCTGATATAATCTACAAATATGCATTCATTGACTCAGGAGTATGATTTATAACTTCTTATGATATCTGAATATCAGTTAAGTACCTAAGAGCAACAGTGTACAGTATATCACTGTTAGCATAATGCATTTCATTGTTGCCATTCACACACACACACACACACACACACATTTGAAAATCCTTCATAGTGGCTTGATAACATATTACAGTATTTAATGTATGTGGAAAGTAACAACTCTTTCTAATGCTTCCCATGTCCCAATTACAATACATAAAATTTGGATATTAGAATAATGGTAACTGCCTACAGTATTTGCTTCCGAGACCACAATAATGGGAATGTATGTTCACATTTAGCCTTAATTTACCATACACAGAATAATCTTTTCTCATTATGTAGGTATGGCTCACTGACAAACTTTGGGTGAGGTAGTAATGGTAGTGGGGTAGTGCTAGAATGCACAAACAATTACGGTAATACTTTCGGGTATTTTTGAGACTTTACTAAAATTTGCATCTGATAGTAAGCTGCATCCCCGCTCATCCCTCGTTTAGCGATAATTTCACAATGTTAGGTTTTTCAGGAATGCAACCCCATCGTTAAATGGGGGGATACCTGAATTATGAGAATGTTGGACAGACATTGGAAATTAGGAAAGCTCACTGAGTTCAGTTTATTATGGGAAACTTTAAGCTAAAATTAATAGGATCATGAAATAGAATTTTTTTGCTCAGAAGTGGTAGAGAAGTATGATACATATTGTAGTTATAGTGTGATACTGTAGGAGAGTTGGGTTTTATACATGTACTTTATACAGTATTGATATGAATTGTTGTAATTTATACCTGTATTGATATTAATGGATTTGTATTTACTTCATTTGAAGTCCTGTAGGTGTTTACTTATTTTTTAGGGGCTGTGTACATATGGCACTCCTGTACTGTAGTAATCACTGTCTGATTCTTTATTCAAATTGTATAAAAAGGATCAGTGCAACTAATCTGCTCTTTTTAAGTTTGGAGGGAATAGCAAAGATAGATAGGTATATTGATATTGAGGGTCCATATTAAAACAACCTCATTTGTAATTTCTAAAAGTTACTAAAATTGTTTCTCACTCTTGCAGTACACTCTTGATGCTCTCCAAAGTGTTGTGGGAAGCAAGCATTCCTTTGGTGGTTATTCGCAGCTATGGCATGATAGGTTACATCAGAGTGCAGGTGAGTGCTGAAGTTTTTTTGGTTAACAATAAAAAATTAGTTAAATTTCTCGGATCTCACTTTCCAAATGTTGGTTATTGGTATTGCAGGTTTAAAAAAAGAATTGATATTATTGTACTGTTCTGTTTTTCCAAGACCATGGTGAAGGTTATTATCTATTTGAGTACCCTGTTTATTGTTCCCTTAGTTGTATTAGGTTAATGCAGACAAGAAATCATATCGTACTGTATTGTAATGAAAGATATGTACTGTATAGTATCTCAAAAAAAATGTATCTGTCCACACTGTATGAATCATTATAAGACCATGGATGATAGATATTGGGACATGCATTTACTTTGATATATAGTTTAACATAAGTAATGCAATGTGTATCTATTTTGGCGTAATTATTATGATATACGGCTTCCAAATGTAGTAGGATCATTATGCCACAGAGCCGTGCATACTAACCCTCCTGGGACACGATGAATTGCTTGTAGCATTTTGGAAGTCATCGGACCCATGCGGGCAGATACTTTTTTGAGATACTGTACATACTGTGCTCAAGTGATGCACATTGAACTCTAGCTTTTTAAACTCTTTGTGTATGGGAATATTTCATATCAGTTACTACTGTATAATTCAATTTTTTTTTTTTTTTTTTTTGGTACATCATATGATACTGTACATATTTTAGCTGTAACAGACTTCTTACATGGTAATGAAATCATGCAGCAACATTTATAAAGATTATTTTCATGTCTTTAGAGCAGTGGTTCCTCACCTTTTGTAAGCCCTGGGCCACATTTGTCATTATAAATTAGGTGGAGGGCACCTTTGGATCTACGTTCAAGATAAAAAAGAAAAAACATATACAGTTTTACAGTTATTTACAGTTTTACACAAGTCTACTAACCGTTTAACTGTTACCGTTACATATACTTGTTACATTTACTCTTAGATCATGTTAGCTCTCTCTCTCTCTCTCTGGTAGTTTTACACACGCCCTGTATACGACAGATTTGGGACAAACGGGGATCCTCTTTCTTTCTAAAGTTGTAACAAGTTATTAAATATTTTCAATATTTTCAATCTGACAGCTTCCTAATTATTTCAAAATTTTCTAATAAACCCATGCGGTCTCCATAATATGGTTCCGCGGGCGCCATGGTGCCCACGAACTACAGGTCAGGACCACTGCTTTCGAGGAATGCCATTTTATTTTACTTGCTTTTGTATTAAATGTTTGACAGTAAATGAATAGAGTCAGTCTTTGTTCTTGTCTCTGAGCAGAAAAAAGTTTGTAAGAACAAAAAAATAAAACAATTGTATTTGTAAAACACACTTGCCCCCAGATGTGTCATAAATGAGACATAACTCCTGAAGTAATCAATAATATGATTAAAATGAAACTTGATCTCTATTTGCACATGACAATCTTTTATTGAATTTAAGTTAATCCCTCCAACTGTTTTCTTTTTACGAGTAGAGATAAATATGGGACAGATAGACGGAAGTATGTATGAAGTTGACCACAGCAATATTTCCCTCACTATACTGTAGTGTGGTCAGAGTAAAATAACATATACAGTAATTTTATACCATTGAGAGTAATGTTACTTGGTGAAACAAAAAGGATTCTCTGCCCGACTGTTGAATGACAGGAGTACAATCTATTTATAGTTAATTGAAGTTATTGGCAATTTGACTTAACTTTCACAGAAAACTTAGCTTCTGCATACAGTACTGTAAATTTTAATTTTCACAAAAAACTTATTGTGAATTCTACTACTGTAAATGTTTTTTAAGATATGCTGTGTACAGTATTTATGACTGAAACTACAGTGTTATGTTTTGTTTATGTTAAAATTTGTTACAGATTGAAGAACATGCAATTGTTGAGAGTCACCCTGACAATGAGATGCCTGACCTGCGATTGGACAGACCCTTCTCTGCATTGCAAAAATATATGGATAGCCTTGACCTTGATTCTATGGACTCCAAGGAACATTCTCACGTACCTTACGTCGTCATTCTTTATAAGCATTTACAGATTTGGAACCAACAGCACGGAGGACCACCCAAAAATTATAAAGAAAGAAAAGCATTTATCGAGCTTTGTAAAACAGGTGCAGCTCATTGTTTTGTTGTTTTTGTTTTGTATTTACTTCTAATGTACTGTACTGTACTTGCTCACTTGCTCTGTTCAGGTAGAGTTCTTTTTCATCCCCTTTTTCTTTGCTTCATCTGCCCAAGGTACAGTATATATCTAGGTTGTACAAGGTGTCTCATAGGTCATGCACCCTAAGAGAATTAATGTTTTCTTCTTTTTTCTTTTTCAAGTGAGAGAATCGATACATATCAATGAAGATTAGGTGATGAGAACCAATTGAATTACCATTGAAGTGTCTGGACCACACACCTCTTAATTTCTTCATCTGGGGCCACCTAAAATCTGTCATCTACTAAGATCATCCAAGAATCATTGAGGTGAATCCAGAGAAAGATCTCGAGAGGTGTGAGACCTCTGTGCCCATTCAATTGGCCCCCATCACCCAATCTTTGTTGATTTGTTATGATTCGCTCACCTGAAAAATAAAAAATAAAGAGAAGAATATTAACCCTTAGTCATTGGTGACGTTCTAGAACGTCCGTCCAGCTAGCCCCGGGTGACGTCCCAGAACGAGTGCCTATTCCCGCCACTGTTTAAATGCCCAGCATGGTTTATCAGGTTCCAGTGTGACTATTTGCTTCTCACACCACTCGCTCAGCCACAGGGAAGCTTCCTAAACATAATTACCTACTTTTGTTTGTTTCATTTTCATTGTTTGTCCATTTTATCATGTTGTATCAAAGTAATATTGCTAAAAGTAGTGTAGTTGTATTTTAGGGTAGTATTACTGTAAAACAATGCCTTGATTATGTTATAATTGTATTTATTTGTGGAATTATTATTATTTTAAGTATTACTTGCTCTACCAAACACAAAGACGGGTTGGCGACCGACTGGTGAGTGTTGCCAAGCACTTTTTTATGAAAAATTATGCAAATAAAATATTCTAAATAAATTATTTATAGCAAATAAGTATATTAAGATCAGTAAATACATACATTATTGGCCACCTCGGACACAAAGGCGAGCTAAACATAGCTGCTAAGTGCGTAGGGACCACAAGCATCAGCTGTCAAACCAACACTGTCTCCTTATCTCTCCCTCTCCTCCCTCCCTCAAGTTTCTAGAGGGTCAATATATATAGTTGTTCTTGCTGAATTTTTTATTGTTATATTTTAAAAGGTTAAAAATTATTTTTGGAAAAGTTGATTTTTCTCGATTTACCCGTGTGAGGGGTACTGCCACCAGCACCCTAACCCGGGGCTTAAGGGTTAACTTGCCTAGGGTGTTCAACCCTTCCTGTACATCATCGGCTACAGTGTTATTACCCAAGGTGTAATTTTTGGTGTAATTTCTGAAACTGGTGACAGGATTAATTCTGGGACAAGTTACAGGTATGTGTGCAAATTGTGGGGACATATTTATTGCCACTGTTAAATGTAGTCTAGTTCAAGATAGATTGTCTTTGTGGTTATTTTTATAAATTTACCTGATTTTTTATTCACTGTCTTTTTTTTATTAGTGCACATCTTAAATCAGGGGTGCTCAGTCTTTTCTGCAAAAGGGCTAAACATTATATTTAGCAGTACATGTACTGTGGGCTGTATGACAATATTAATGGTGTTAAGTGAGGCACATAATGAAATAATTTTTTTTTTTTTTTACGGAGAATAGCCCACCCAGGCACAGGTCATGGGGCCTAGGGGGCAAAAAAATAAGAGTAAAAGGAATTAAAAATAGAAAAGAAAAAGATTGTATTGATCTTCACCACAAACATGCTGGAAAACCAACTTTTTAAAGTAAGACAGATTGTATGAGTATGGAAACAGAAGGCAGAGCATTCCACAGTTTGGCTGTGTGAGGAAAGAAGGATGTACTATAATGGGTTATTCTAGTGTGACCGACAACCACGAAGAAACCGTGGGCACCGCGGGCAAGACGAGCTTTACGAGCCCACGGCCTTGCCAGCGGTACACAGGATGGCAAATCCACCGAACATTGCCTGTTAAAGTCCCTGTAAAAGAGAGAGTGAAGCAACATTGCAGTGAAGAGAAAGGGAAGAAAGATTATCAACTAAAGGAGGAGAGTTAATAAGATGAAATGCCTTTGATTCCACCCAATCTAACAGTTAGACAGAAGAAGAGCCGCCCCAGATATGAGAGCAGTGCTACAAATTAGGACAAATGAATTCCTTATAAACTTGAAGCAACTGCTCAGGAGTGAAGTAGCTACGGCATCTATACAGCATTCCCAGCTTTCGGGGGGCAGCTTTAGGAATGTTGTGGATGTGTGGCTTCCATGACATAGAGGAAATGGTGAGACCTAGCATATCTATTTTAGAACTTGGCAGAATGATTGCATCCTGAATTGTGATTGGTGGGAGAGCATCTAATTTGGAAAGTGTAATTGGTAAATACTGAGTTTTATTACTATTGAATTTAACCAAGTTTCTACCTCTCCATTCGGGGATGCTACACAGATCCGCATTGATAGATGAAATGATATCGGCTCTAGAAACAGATCTAGTTTGAGAATTACGGGGAAGGGAAAAATGTGAAGAAGAGTGAAGTGTAGAATCATCAGCGTAAGAATGGATAGAATTAGTAGCTGAAAGAAAGAACCCTGAGAGACACCACTATTGGTCGAGAAAGAGCGAGAGGTCGATCCCTCGACGACAACTGCCATGGGTCGGTTCTCAAGGAAGCTAGAAATTAGGGAACAAAGTGGGGGAGAGAAACACCATAAGAGGGAAGTTTAGAAAGCAAAGACTTGTGTCATACCCTTTGTTAACTATGCTAATTTTCATGAAGGCCAGCTTGCTAGAAATCTGCCAGGCAGATTATAAAGTAGCTAAAAACCCTATATGAACAAGATTGCAAATTTACTTGCCAAACTGCTGGATAAATTTGCTAGAGTTAGCAGGAAAACAGCTAAAATGAAAACACTGTCTGCTTTTCTTTCAAGCAAAAAAAAGCTTTTGGGACTAGTCCAAGATCTGCTTAACTCGCATTCTGTTACACTGTTAGTCCGTCCATTCATGGTCATCAAAACCTAGTTGATCTTTACATTTTCTTCACATTGATCTTGAAAACAATATCTGAATGTGAATCATTTCATGTTACTGTAAACTTATAAATCAGTGTCTTGACAAACATACTATAGGATAAAGGCACTTGATTTATGGAGGGGCTGCTGACTGGATATGCCTGCCTTAAACTAATTGATATTGCTTGTCTTTAAGAACTTGGGCAAAAATATTAAGCAAAATATTGCTCTCTCTATTTCATATTACAGTACTTTTATTTGCTCTTTGTTTGGCTGCATTCCATAACAGCAATTCTTGTTTGTCCTTGAACACAAAAAATTCAGTATAACCTTACTCATAACAATTTCACATAACTAGAACATAAATTTTCAGGTTGATATTCCTCTACTAACTGAAATTTTGTTTGAATTAATCTGTTCAAATGTTCTATATTTCTCATGTGGTAATTGTATGTGCATCTTCCACAATAGAATGATGATTGGTTATACAGTTTCAAGAAAGTGGGACCTGTATACATATACTGTACTGTACAATCTCTCTTCTTCTGAAATAAGAATGGCAGCTCACGGAACCTGTACCTTATGGAGCACTCAACTTAAATGTTATTAAATAAATGCCATGTTAGCTCTGTTGAGTTAGTTTAATCCTATGACCCAGTCTGACTTGGTCTGTACAGTTCCAGCAACACACACACACACACACACACAGCATGCACACCCGGTAAAAAAATATATATTTACAATTTGTGTGTGTAGCAGAATGACACCATAAACAAAAGTCTTTTATAAAGGCCCATGAGACATACACTTATTCACCAATCATATTGCAATGAACTAATTTTATATTTCAAATGAAATAACTAAATTATGCTTACCACAATTAGTAGGAAATGTCTCGCAATCATGCCTACCAACCCTAGTGAGACAACAGGATTGTTCAGTTCCAAATTCATCAGACCCCTTCTGAAAGAGACTTTTTAATTTGAGAGTACAATATACACATTGAGTGTAATTGGTATGAGTTAATATGACTGGTTGAGTGATGATAGTGGTACCACAGTCTACTGAGCCAACAAGCCAGGGTTATGATAGGCAGTATTTAATTTGATGCGAGAAGTCATGTGTAAATTTTACTCCTGTAATTCAGGTTATTGGCTGATCAACCCATCCTAACCTCCCTGTTATAGAGAATAAATGTATTTCCATATACTGTACAAGTACTGTACAGTGTATTTTGAAGTACCATCCGTTTTCTCATGCTTGTGTCCTTCTCTAGCTCAGTATTCATGTAGTACAGTATGTATTGCACTCTAATACCTTACCTTACTCTTCTCTTTCCAAATTTTCCCCTTCTCCTTCCCCCAGCATCTTCACTAATTGCTACTCATCAGTACAAATAGATGACATATGCTTCACTTTTTAATTGCCAAACCAACAGCCAGTATATTTAAGTTTGATGGAAGATGAAGAGATGATTGTTAGTGAAAATTTTTGAGTGTTTTTAGGCTGAGTACATAACTAATCTTTCTTTACATTCTAGGTATGAGAGAAAAGGAGAATAGTGAGATTGAAGAAAACTTTGAGGAAGCAGTAAAGGCAGTGAACACCTCCTTATTGCCTACATCGATACCATCTGGAGTACAGTCCATCCTGAATGAGGCAGCCTCTATCACACCAAGTCCTACAACTAAACCCTTTTGGATAATGGCCCGAGCCCTTCATGAATTTGTTACTTCAGAGGGTCGCGGAGCTTTACCAGTGAGGGGAACTATACCAGACATGACCGCAGACTCTGAGAAATATATCAAGATCCAAAATCTGTAAGTATCAGTCATGTCATTATATTCCTAACAAATATCATGCTTGTGATGTGTTTACTGGGTCTGTCCCAGTTCTAGTTTAAATCAAATCAAAATAATTTTATGGCCATTTTCCATGCTTGCGTGGGTTAGATGTGATTACCTGATGGCAGCTCTCCATGCTGCAAAGTCTCTTGCAATCTTTCTAACCAGAATCTTAACTCTCCACCCCTCCACATTCAGGCTCCAAACTGTAATTCAGTTTCTAAATACCAGTGAACATGATAGTATACTGGTATGGAGACAAAATCCTGATCAGTTTTGGGGGTCACTGAGTTAAAATTTCAGGATTTAATTCCTAAAATGTGATTCTGGTTTCCTATTCACAAATGAATGATAATGCATTGGTATCTTTTCCATGGGGAAAAGAAAGTCCTGATTGGTTTCAGGGTCACTAGGTCACAGTTTAGGGTTCTTAAAGCCCAAACTACAGTTTTGGTTTCTGAACCATAACTTGAATTTCCAAGTGCCATTGAAGATGATATTGCATCAGTATCATGTCCCAAGGAAGAGAAAAGTCTGTAGGTAACCCCTTGCCCACTTAAATTTATATTTGAATTGAAACACAACAATAATACAGTAATAAAAAACATACACTGTACTGTACATGGTTTTGTCTTCGGGGAACACTTTTTACAAAATGAAAAGTTGCAGAACATCTTAAGTGTATTTATTCAGGGAACAAATAATAATGAGACATGTAAGTGTTGTGAGCTACTTGAGGTATTACACTATTGGATTCCAAGCTGAATTTGGAAGATATTAGTGAAAGAATAATTTAATGAGATAAAAATCTATGATATATTGCATGTAGTTCATTGAAGGATTCTGATTATATGTGTCACATCCTGGAGCTGCTTCTGTCAATTTTACTCTACTCCAATTATACATGGAGAATAAAGATGTATTTTTAAGGCTTCATCCCTGAAGTTTCATTGTTTCACCCTTTATAGTTAGGCGTGGAATAAATTACTGTACAGTACTACCTGAATTTATAGTATTAGGCTTTACATGAGATTCATTTGCAGGTATCGTGAGCAGGCGGCACAGGATGCTGACTGGGTGTTAAGAAGAGTGCAGGAACTTAGTCAACAGTTGGGTCCAAGAAAGATTGTGACATCACTAGAGAGTGATATAAAAAACTTTTGTAAGAATGCTCATGCCTTACGAGTCATTAAGGGTAAATCCATTGCGGAGGAATATAAAGGAAGCATCAACCTTGGTGAAATTGGTACGTTTAAATTGGATACTTTTTATGGCGTGTAGCTGTCAGTGTTGTAAACCCTCTCCATATCCTTGTATGGAGGTGTTGGGCTGTTAACCCTATCTTCTTGAATTCAGTGACCAAAAAGAAGAAATAACAGATAAATTTGGGTGTTTGTGTGTATGTGGAGGTAATCAGAGTGACAAGGAGGAGATTAAAATTGTGATGAAGGAAAGGGACTTTGTTGTCATGGTGTTGTGCAAAACAAAACTGAAGGACAGAGGAGAGGTGATGTGATGACAAATGAGGGGAGTAAAGTATGAGGTGTCTGAAAAAATAATGTTCTGTATACTCTTCAACTCTGACACAATACCATTTTAATTTTTGGTGTAAATAGCTTTTTGTATATGATATTGTAGTACAGTAAACCCTTGCTATTTGTGGGGGTTAGGTTCCAAGGAATGGCACGAATTGGCAAAACTGCGAATAGCAACTTATACTACCTTGGTGTACTACTTTATACCTACTGTATAATGTGTATGAGAAACTTAGGTCACTAATACTACTTGCCTTCGTATGTGGAAGTTTGAAGCTTGATGAAATGTACTGTACAGTAGGATGAAATCTGGTTACTGAAGCATAAGGAGATCATTAGGATCACTGTTGGAAGACGGTGGTGCAGTGGTGGTTGGTGGAGAGGTGCGTGGCGGGTGACACGGATGGTGGGGTGGCGGGGAGGTAGGTGGTGGAGCAGAGGCAGCAGCAGACCGGGTAGGTGAGGGAGACAAATCAGCTGGGCTTTTAACTGGTTCTTTATTGAAAAACATCGTGAGAGGTAGTTGTTTCCTCTTGGCTTTGAGGACTCTAAACATTTCCTGGTAGGGAACCAATGTCTGGTTGATTTCTCGGACAATCTTAAGGCTCACATTATGGAGAGAGAATCTTCTCTTAAAATTCTTACAGCATCCTTTTAGCACTAAAAGTTGGTTCAGTAGTCACACTAGCCCCTTCTTCACCACCTGTTGACTCATAAAAATGGGCATAGAGACCCTTAGCCTTCTAATGAATCATGTTGCTGTCGATCGGCACATTTTTATGGTGCTGGTCCTCAATCCAAATGTTCAATGCTTTTTCTGTTTTCACAATGTTTTTGTCACAAACAATCTGTGCCACCTTAACACTTGTAGGAGCGTTCGCTTTAACAGAATCACAATTTTCTTGTTCATTCTTCTTTACATACTGCACTGTGGATTCGTTCACCAAACAACCGACCAGCCACGGCAGCACTCATCCCCTCCTTTCACTTATCTAATAATTCAACTTTCTTTGTCAGGGTCATCACTGACTTCTGCCTTTTATGTTTCACTCCCCTAGCATCACTAACAATGACACTAGGCAGTCTTTTAGGGGCCATTTCACACAGAAACACTAAAGTTGCGAGTACAACACAAGATGCTGTGTTGCAGGCAATGGTTGAGCGCAAACAAGGGAGAGGAGGGAGAAGAGACGCTGCGGGCATGTGGGGATGACTCGTTGTGCTGTGGGACAGGCTCGTAAGCTAGCCAACAGCTGCTTACCGTGAATAGTCGAAATTGCGAATCGCCAATCCACGAATAGCAAGGGTTTACTGTACTGCACAGTAGACTCGCAACTTACGTGGGGGGTTACGTTTCTGGGACCCAGCGTAAAGCCAAAAACTGCATGAAGTCAGAAACACTCGTAAATCGCCCTTAAATCACTATATTGTATCCGTACGTACATATACACTAGAACTCGTATATCACTATTGTAATGTAATATAAACATCTGTAACAAGCGCATAACAGCATTAATAGAACACAGACATTTCCTGTATGTAGACAGACATGTGTTGTTGTTTTGAGATAATTCTTCCCCTTCCCACGTCGCTGTGGGGGATCGTCAAGCTCAGATAACGATGCAGGGGAGGATGTGGGCAGGTCAAGATCACTGCGAGAAGTTGAGGGCGTTTGCTGATCTGCTCATGATGTTGATGCTGAGGTTTTCTTAAAGAACATGGTGATGGGAAGCTGTCGTTGTTGTTTCTTAAACTGCTTTAACATATTCTTATACCTATACTGTACTGAGCCATAAGGCTTGTAAGACCTCTCACTATTTTCTCCAACTCACCATCAGTCAGAGTTTCCCTGTGCCCTTCAATTAACTCCTCAAGCATGTCTTCAAACCCATCACCGCCTACAGCCCTGGCCACCTTCACGATGTGCTTTACTTCAGAGTCAATAGTAGGGAATCCTTTGAAGTCACGCGCAGTCACTCCACAGTGCTCGCCAACACAAATTAACTGTCTCTGGTTTCAGTGCATCCACGGCCTCCTTCACAAAACTGATGCAATTGTCAATATTGAAATCCTTCCAGCATGCCATAACACTGTTGTTAGTGCCGTCCTCCATGGCATTGTAAATGCGGACGAAGATGAGGCGTGTGTACGCTGCCTTAGAGCACCGAATCACGCCCTGGTCGAGAGGATGGAGTTGGTGTTGGGTAGAAGGAACACTACCTCGACATCAATGTGTGAGAATTTTATGGCATCCGGGTGACCTGGTGCGTTGTCAACGACCAGCAACACTTTGAAAGGCAAGCCCAGCTTTTCTAGGTAGCTCTTTACCTTGGGGATAAAACATTTATGGAACCACTCAAGGAAAAGCATTGCTGTCACCCAGGCTTTCTTGTCTGACTACCAGTAGACGGGGAGGAGATTCTTATTTTTTCCCTTCAGAGCACGAGGGTTGGTAGACCTATAAATCAAGCCTGGTTTTATCATATACCCTGCTGCGTTTTTCCACATAGCAGGACAGTGACGCGGTCCTTCGCAGCCTTGAAACTGGGGGCCTGCGTCTCAGACTTAGAAATGTAGGTTCTGGCCGGCATTTTCTTCCAAAGCAAACCTGTTTCGTCAGCGTTGAAGACCTGCTCTGAAAGATATCCATCTTCCTCAATTAATTTCCTGAATTCTTCTGGGAACACCCATGCAGCTGCCTCGTCCTCCAATGCCGATTCGCCAGCGAGTAATATTTTTCAGGTTGAAACAGTTCCTGAAACTGTTGAGCCAACCTGCACTGGCTTTAAAATTCTTATCAGAACTAGTGGATGCTTCGCCCTCAGGAACCTCAGATTTAAACTGGTCATAAAAACTCGGTACCTTCTCCCCGAGCACGTTGCCGTCGATGGGGACACGTTTCTGGTTCATATCCTCTACCCAGATGTTTAATGCCTTCTCCACCTTTACTAGAGTTACTTCTCTAACCTGGCTGGACACCTCAGCAATAAATGAGGCACTTGTAGACACAGTTTCACGAATTTCCCTCTCCCGAATCTTGGTGGATCTCACACCTGATTTGTTATGCCCGTACCTCCGTGCCACAGCAGCGATCGACATGCCGCCTTTTATTAAGTCTAACACGGCCATTTTTTCTTCCAGGATCATCACAGAGCGTTGTTTCTTCGCTGGAGGACCAGAGGCAGAGGTTGGCTTGTGTTTGGGCATTATGAACGAGTATGAGAGAGGTTTAAGCACTCTAAATTGACACACACGAGAGGCAGCTGTTACTCCGACGATACACGCGCGGCAACTGAGACAGACAGAGGTGGTAGGGTGGCGCGTTTGACGGGCTTGCGACCCATTTTGAAAGTTTTGAGCTTGAAATTGGAAATTGTATCCTAACCCCCTGGGTAATCAGCGTACAGTTGAAACCGCGTAAGAAAAATATGCATAAGTTGCGAGCCTACTGTACTTAGAAAATTTGTTGAACAAGAATTTTTCTTGAGGAATATTCATAGAATGTTCAATAAGAGGTGAAATATTTCATACTCAAATGTTAAAAGAAAAAGAACAACAATTTCACATTTACTTATATTGTATTCATAAAAACCACATTAAAAATATAGTAACTATGATTTTCTTGCAGGTGCACACTTAGAGAACCCCGAGAGTGAGCTGGTCTGGTACGTTATGCTCCGAGCTGTAGATCAGTTCCACTCTGAGTTTCGAGCCTATCCTGGCTATTTTCAGGATCAGGTGGAAACTGACATTGTTAGATTGAAGGTAAGTTATAGCCTGATTTTTTTTTTATGTTAACATTAATTTGAACTATATTACTTAAAAAAATTCTCAGTGGTGTAAATGTCAACTTTTGATATTAAGCTGATGGTACAAGAATATAACACTTAAAAAAATCTAGTTCAGTGCCATTAGACACTATGCAATTGTAAATACAGTACGTATACAACAGTGTCATGGAGATCTTTTGTTGTGTAGACCGTAAGTAATGTATTACTGTGGTTCTTAGTTTTAGTGTCAAAAGGAGCCTTCCCTATTTAGTACTGTAATGTACTGTATATTTATGTACCAGTATATGTGACATTTGTGGCCTCACTTTTGTACTGTACAGTACAGAACTTGCAACTTGAAATGATGCCACTGGTCATTGAAATTACTGTTTTATAAACATCTTAAATTTAATGTGATTTCCACTGATTTATACTGTTTTAATACAGTGATCCCTCTGTTAACGAGCACCTCGGTTAACGAAGTTTCGGTTAACAAATTACCTTCCATAAGATTCTTAACTTCGGTTAACGAGCATTCCCTCGATTAACGAATTCCTTACGAGTGCCCCTCAACATGTTTTTGCTTGCACACTAGCTGTCGTATTAGTCCGCCAATACAGTAATTGATTCTAGGGCTTAAATTCCTTGCTATTTTAGTAAATATCAAGAAGTTTGTACTATTCAATAATTTTAAAAGTCTTATATTAAAATTTTTTGTAATTTTAACAATTATTTAACGTAATTTAAGTACGTACAGGGAAACTAGTTTTTAGCGCACCAAACAGCCTGTCAACACACCATACAGGCGTCAGTCTCCGTGTCTTTTCAGTGGAGGTAACATCTTGCTTCAGACTCTCTTCAACATAAATGCTTTTTTTTCTGTTTCCAGTCAAATTATTGGTCATTTTGAAATTTAATTTACATATTGACTATATATAGCGCAGTGCAGTGTTGATTTAAAGAAAATAATCTTGAATTACACCAAGTGAACTAAAATTTTATGGGTGAAATGGCGGCATGGGGTGACTTCTCTTCCACCCCAATGCCTTCTCTTCTCCTTTCTCCTCCACCCCCATTCTAATTCCCATCATCATCATCAACCAGGAGCCTTCTACATGCACACCTCAAAGTAAGTGTACTTTACTGCATTTATTTTTAGTTTGTATGTAATTTTCGGTGAGCTGGAACCAATTACCCAAAAACCTATTGAAACAATGGTTTCGATTAACGAATTTTTCGGTTAACGAGCAACCTTCCGGAACGAATTGTGCTCGTTAACCGAGGGACCGCTGTTCTGGTATGTACAGGACAATAAACTCACAATTTAGGCTAATTGTAGGGGAAGGCCACATGTCTTTTTATTAACTTGAAAAATGTTTTATGGGATTGGAGTTAATTTTCGTAATTAATCATATCTTGGTTATCAGAGAAGATTTCCTTTACCCATGTTTCAGTCATTTTAACAAAAAACGTAGCAGGGCACACAGTACTATAAGTGATGGTTAGTTAGATAATTTAATCTATTCACCCAGGCAAATTGATTTCATATACTGTATAACAAAGTAAATGATCACTGTATGAATTTTTTATACAGTTGCATCTTTATTTAATTTTTTTCCAGGTTTGTGTGAATAGGTTATTAGCAGATTGGGGTTGTGGTCCCATTGTCAAAGATGACTTCATCCACGAGATGTGTCGGTATGGAGCAGCAGAGGTACATTCAGTAGCTGCATATATTGGTGGATGTGCAGCCCATGAAGTCATAAAGATAATTACTAGCCAGTATGTTCCCATCAACAACACACACATTTACAATGCCATAACTGCAACTTCAGAAACTTTTATGCTGTGATTATGGTGTGTTGGATAGCTAGCAATAATGAGTCATGTTATCATGTCTCAAACAAAATATATTTAGTAAAATATTTACCATTATGAAGATATTAATAAAGAAAATATGACCATGTCACATTGAAATTGGTAATAGAAAAATAATATCTTTGCTAGAGTTGTAATTCAAAATGAAAAGTTCAACATCAGATCCACTTTTTGTGTTGTACTGTACCTTTTTTATCAGCAAAAATTGGAGGGAGATTTTAGCGAACAAAAGAAATCTATAATATGTTATGTATTGGGAAAAATTAATGCAGTATAAAACAAACTTATACCAATTCTGTGATAACTTCAGAATCATGTAATTAAGTCGTGTTATGGGTGGTTTTGGTGCATCACATTTGGCAGTTTTGTTTTCTCCAAGTGCACAAGGTTGGGAATAATTCCATAAAAATTGCTTGGACACAGGTTAAGTTATGAATATTTCATGAATGCAAAGTTTCCTCTGGAACCAAATTATTTAAGTGCCTAGATTAAGGAGGTCAGTTACTTAGCATGATGTTTTCCTTTGTAATATTGAACTAGCTGTTTAGATTTTTTACAAATTCCACAAATGTTTTACAATATTCCCTATGCACATGGAATTCTTGATCTGAATATAATGAGTATAGATGGAGTATACAGTACATTACTTTGTGATCGCAAATTTTTGTGGTTATATCCATTTTAATATGTGAATTAAGAAAATGTGTTTAGCTCTCATGTAAAAAAAAATATGGTTTAAAAATCCTCAGTGACATGATTTTGTAAAAACAATATTTTAACTTTGAAGGTACAGTACAGTATATGAATATGTAAATACAGAAATATTTAAAATATCTGGAAGTAAAGATACTCAATGTTAATTTAATGTTTTTCTGTTCATGTCACGCACACTTTAGGCCACTTCCTTTATAAATAGATTTTAGGATCACCAGATTTGTATATCTGTTATAAAATACTGTATCTAATTCAATAAATCTGACAACACATTAATGTATTTTGCTACTCTGACATAAATTGATTTGTTATTATTGGTTATTGCTTATTTTGACTTGCATTATTTAGAAAACTTCCAGTTTTGTATCATATCATCTTCAACATTTTACAACCATTCTCCACACTGGTGTGGGTTAACTGTGATTACCTCATGGCAGCTCTCCATGCTGCACAGTCACTTGCAATCTCTCTTTTCAAGTTTTTAACTCTAATGTGATTTTATAAAACCTCTCCCATGTCAATCTTGGCCCACTCCTGGTTCTCCTCCTTTCCACATTTAAGGCTTATCCACATGCCCAAACCATCTCAGCCTGCCTCTATGCAGTACTTAATCAATAAAGCATGCCATTCAAATTTGCGGGGGTTAGGTTATCAAAATGGCCACAAATAGCCAAATCTGTAAATAACATTGGCTGACCAGGGGGGTTACATTTTTATTTGTGTGCAAAGAAATGTATATTCCCTTTGTGTTTGTCTCCAGGACAAACACACGCTATATAAACAGCCCAGTCCCAACCATTGTAAAAATTATCAACAACTTGTAATCAACCAGTGTACAGTGGTCCCTCGGTTAACGAACGGTTCGGTTTACGAAATTTCGGTTAATGAATTACCCCTCCATAAGAATCTTCAATTCGGTTAATGAAAAAAATTTGATTTACAAAATCCTTACAAAAATCACATTTTGTTGTGAGAATCAGCTGATGGGTTAGTCTGCCAATTCAGTAATCTGTTCTACGTTTACATTCTTTTCCAATGGAGTAAATATCAATAAAGTTGTGCTCTTTAATATTTTTGCATGTTTTATATTAAAATTATTAGTCATCTTAACATTTATTTAACATATTGATAATATATGCAGTACTACAGGGAACTAGTTTGTTGTGCGCCCATCAGATGCATGAGTCACTCACAAGGCATCAGTTGGGCTTTGAAAACAGTGGAGAGAGTATCTACTTTGTTGGTGTCTTGAATATTTTTGCATTTTTCATTGAAATTAATGGTCATTCTGAACTTTAGTTAACATATTGATAATATATACTGCAGTGTTGATTTAAAGAAAATAAACTTGAATTACACCTAGTGAACTTAAAATTTTATTGGTGAAATGACTGCAATAAGCATGGGTCCCCTGAAAGGTGATTTCTCTTCCATCCCCACTTCCTTCTCTTCCCCCTTCTCCTCCACCCCCACTTCTAATTCCCATCATCATCATCAACCAGGAACCTTCTACATGCACACCTCAAAGTAAGTGTACTTTACTGCATTTTTTTTTACTTTGTACAGTATGTACTTTTCTGTTAGCTGGAACCAATTACCCAATATCCCATTGAAACAATGGATTCGGTTAACGAATGACACTTCTGGAATGAATTGTGTTCGTTAACCAAGGGACCACTGTATTTACTCCCAGCCAATCTTACCTTTTTGCACTGTCACTATGTTGAAATGCCCTGAAGTATAACCTTATCCCCACTTAGTTATTATATATCATGTTTGTATCACAAGAGAGACATCTTGCGGGATGCCACAAAACTCGCTTGCCCTCTGTACCGGCCGCGAAAATGCCGGCAACTTTAAAACTACCCGCAGATATTCTTGGGCACATCTAGGGTATCATCCCTGAATAATAGAGGACCGCGAATTATCCAGGCAAGCTGTTCTCTCAATACCCAGCTGCTCCCTTAGTTCTGAACAGGACTTCCTGTCTTTCAATGTCACAATACACATCCATCTCACCATTGTCATTTCAGCTTGCTCAAGTCTACTTATGCCATCCTCTTTAACTGCTCATCAATTTATGCAATTTAAAAACTTGTTATCTCCCAGCAGGGGAAGTAATGACCTGGTGTTGACAGTGTGTACCTGTGAGTACATAAAAGAAAGTTATTGATAGTTGTCCAGTATTTTTTGCAATGAAGAAGGATGTGTAAGATTAATATCATGAGTGAGTGATGTCAAATAACAAGGAGTTTATCAAGTGTTTGATAAGAAATGAGTTGTTTAATGATGGACCAATATGAGAAATGAAAAAATGATAGGTGTTTGTAGAACACCTGATCTTTATTAATTTCTCATATTGGTCCATCATTAAACAAACATATTAAACAACTTATTTCTTATAAAACATTTAAGGATAAAAAATTATTGGTGTTTAAAAGTACTTTGACTATTGTGGTAAAGATGCACGTTTATTATTGCCACATTTACTGTAGCTGAATAATGCCTTGTTATTACATGAATCTGAGAGAAAGTTGGAGAGACTGATCACAAATTTTGATGAGGCTTGTGAAAAGAACAAAGTTATATTGTTTGAAAGGGGAAGGTTAGGTTAGATAGAAGGGCAGTTATATTGTTTGAAAGAGGAAGGGCAGTTTCATTATTTTGTCACAATAAATGGATAAGAGCTGGAGTTATATGAGAGCAGTGTCCACAAGTATACAAATGGAGGATTACCTGAAGATTAGCCACTACAGCTCATTTCATCTAATGATTGGACACCTTAATGCTACCTGGAGAGATTAGGTTAGAGTATTGTTTGGGTGGTATATTTATGTGAAATATGCTCAGGTGCCTATTCTTCAGTTGATCTGAAATGACTAAGTGAAAGTTAGAGTAATAAAAGGAATTACACAAGGAAGAAAAACAGGTTGTCATTAGTGTAAGTGTAGATTGTATAGGGTAAGGACTTTTTGCAGTGTTTTGATATTTTGTGATAACTGGTGGACATCTGTGATTCCATTTTGGGAATTAAGGCAATTGATTAGATAAGTATTGAATATGTAAGAATATATCGTAAAGACTGGATCACGATAAAAAAGGAAGAGGGTACTTAACCAGGAGTTCTTGGCTGGTCATACTGGAGGCTACATAGCCAGGATGTTAAGTTAGGTTGGAAGATTCGTGTACTGTATCCTGATATATAAGAGTTTCACGTTTCATAATTACCAAACTAACCCAACCTAATCAATTACCTAAAACTTAATAAATACCTGCTAATACATTAGAAGACGTTTGCAACATTAAGAAACTTTTCAAAAAAAATACTGTATTGGTCTTTTACAGAAAACGTACATCAAGGAAGGTAGGTATAGTTGTAAGATAAGTTAGGTTTGTTTTATTTGGAGTCCTACCCCCAAAAATATGAGTCCAAAATTTGAATTTGGGATACTGTACCAGAATAATGCATATCTATGCATTCTAAATCACATTTTGTCTATAGCAGCCTTCTGTTACATCAGTTTTAAGGCCTTTACCCTACAGGTTAATAATACCATGAACATCTAGTACCTGTATATGTAGCTGGGATATAAGATTCTGGGAGGAATTCTTGAAAGGATGAACAGGGTCCATGTAGAATCCATATTCCAAGCACAAAACACCAACAGTTATGATGCTTAGCTCAACCCAGTCAGCCTCGTCACAAAGGAAGCGGCTATATTCAAAACCTCATCAATTATTTTTTGAGAGCATTATAAGAGATGCTATGATGGAACATCTACTACGAAACAACCTTGTAAAGGATTGCCAACATGGTTTTATGCCGGGACGCTCCGATTTAACACAATTACTCAAGATACTGGATGTTTGGACCCAAATTCTGGAACAAGGTGGTAATATTCACAAAATATACCTAAATTTTGCCAAGGCATTTCGACAGCTTACCCCATGAAAGGCTGAAAATTCAACTAGAAGGGTACGGGATTCCGGTAAGTGTCCTAGTGTGGATCGGAGACTTACTGTATGATCGCAAACAATGTGAGGTGATTAATGGTACGAAATCATCATGTGTACCCATGAGAAGCGGGGTACCACAGGGCAGTATACTGGGCCCGTTTTTTGTTTGTTTGTTTCATAAATGACATGTCAGAAGTTAAACATTCGTCCATACAAATGTTTGTAGACGATGCCAAGTTATTTCGGGAAATTCAGAACCAAACAGACTGCAGTGGACGTCTCCCCTACAACTGCGTAGCTGCAGGCCACCTGCGACGTCTTCCCTAGCAACCAAACTAGCGGCCCAGGGCAGGCGTCACCAGATGCCGCAGTATCCTAGCAACGGAGCCAAAGACCGGCGACTTTCTCGGGTTTTCCCACCATGACTCATAGATGACTCACGGCTGCTGGGTATATAAGCTCTGTCTCTCCATTGAGATTCATTCTGGCCTCTCTACTTGAACACGCAACATCGCTTCTCCTCCGCCTGCCTGGCGGTCCTCGCTCCCGCCAGCGCATGGCGCCCACCAGCTGTCCTTCTCTGAGCGTCCTCACCAACCAGCTCTCATTCTGCTCTCGGTTCCTGAACACGCAACACCTCCTCCCAGCAAGCTCCTCGCTGTCCCGTTCTCATTCAACCTGGAGGCCAGCAACAGGCAACATCTTCTCTAACGAAGCTCCTGCACATCTACCTCCTTCAACACGCTACTCACCGAACGTGTCTACTGAGCAGCTCCTCACCACACGGCATCTCCAGCACCAGACTGTCTACCATATAACTTATATTATATAAGAAAACCACCTTAGAGTTTCCATCCATCCTGAGTGCTAGACAACATTATATCACGAAACCCTACAAGACTGTGAAGAGCTGCAGAAAGATCTCTGTGAGCTTCAAGAATGGTCAGAGAAATGGCTGCTAAGATTCAATGTCACAAAGTGTATGAGCACGCACCTGGAACGTTCCAACGGTAAGGAGGCGTATCATATGTCCCAACGGGACGAAGAAACTGCATTAATAAAGACTGAATGCGAAAAGGACCTGGGTGTGTATGTTGACAATAAATTTAAATTCTTGGGCCATTGTGAGAAGAAGGTGAATCAAGCAAATAAATTATTAGGTTTTATAAGAAGGTCGTTCAGATATCTGGATGGTACTGTCACCCCGTCTGGTCCCCAAAGGCCCCAAAGGAAGGCCATCAAACTGGTGCCTGCACTTTGGCACCTCAGCTACCCAGAGAGATTAGAGCGCCTGCAACTACCTAGCTTATACTAC